GCGGTAATGTACCAAACAGCGTTTCTTTGCTATTCATAAGGTTTTCCTTGGCCAATTCTTTGAGAAGTGGACAGCCTCTTCCTTCTTCCTAGTCTGTCTCAGTCTATAAGCTGGGCTGTTATCTGTGTACCAGGTGCATTTCGCTGGGTTTTAAACACCAGAGGCTCAGCCTCAAAACTCACGTCTACATGTCACCACAGTAGGATAAACCGACTGACAAGTTTGTCTTGCTGTTGGAGACCTCTCATATCACCCCCACCTGGGTTCCTGTGGCTGACTGTTCCTCTGTCTGGCTTCCTGGCTTTTAATTCCCTTTCTCCTGCTCTTCCCTCTTGCTACTTCGGGCGTCCCTGAATTGTCTCTCCTCTCCTGTATCCCTGGGGCTAACTGCTCTTCTGTCCGGGTTCCTGACTTTTATCCTCTTTCTCCTGCTCTCTATCTAATTAATACAAAATAAATCATAGGCAGCAGAGGTTGATAACCTGAGTCTAAGATATATCTCAGGGAACACCTAAAGTTTCACACAAAATTGAGTGTTGGCTTTCATCAGATGCTCATATGATTATGAAATCTAAAGACAAACCAGTATACCTAGAAGGGCTGTCATGACCTTGTGGTTAGGTGAACAATCTCACAAATCTGAAGTTATTCAAGAGCAAATACCTAAATAATAGTACTTCATTTTCCTAAGTCTGTGGATATAACTCTTCCCAAAGCAGTTTCAAAAAAGACCCAAAGCTGACACGAAAAATTATCAACTCAAGAGATTTAGCCTGCTAGAAAACTAAATGGAATTTTTATTAGTCAACACCAGAGGAAAATCCTGGGACAGTTTGAGCACTTAAGAGAGAAGAGAATCAAGCACACATATTCCTCTATGCATCCCTTTTATAAACTCCTTCCTTATTTCAAGACCTAACAGCAAATCAAGATTATCTCACATACTCCTTCTCCAAATCTTAAGGGTCAAATCCAAATGCCACTCCCCCACATGCTTTCAAGATGAGGGGCTGGAACAACTTTCTCCCAATTCCAAGAGGGCAAGGCTAAGAGGTACAAAGTTAGACGTAAAAGACTGTCCACCCGCCAAAAGAAGTAGGGATCTGTTACTTTTGCCTCACGGGGGGGGGGGGGGGGCCTACTGCACCTTATGGGACCCGGACCTTAGAAGTAGCCATGCCAGATTGCTATGGTGATGAGATAGCAATTCAGCAGCAAAGGTGGTGGCAATGCCAAGACCTGCAGATCCTGATGAGGAGCTACGTGGCATTAAGCAAATAGTGCTTCGTCTCCCCCACCCCCTGCTTGCTTCCGCCCCAACCATTTTCCCCTGTCGGTTACCAGTTGCTCCAGATGCCGTAGAGCAGTTCCACAAAAGCGAAAGATAGATTCAGGCACAGGAAGAAAAACAGGTTCCGGGACGTCTTGTCCGACAAGATAGACCTGGACATAATACAAGTGGGGAAAACCGGGAAAATCAAAGGGAAGCCTGGACCCCGAAACTGCGTCTCCCTTTCAAGATTTCTCCCCAATCCACACGCTGCTTTCCTCACGCAGGGGAACAGGGGTCCTGACAGTCCCTCCCTCGCCTTTCGCCACCCTTAAGTCTGGGCCTTCTTTCCCACTGCCAGACACCCCCCTTCCCGCAAACACTGCACCCCGCACCTAAACCAGCCCGAGATCTTGCCGAGCAGATTGAACTTCGGTGGTTTGTATTCATCGTCCTTGATGGACAGGGGCAACATCTTCTCTGCCCGGCGATGGGCCGGGTCCACTCCCCACTAAAAGTGGCTCCGTGTGATGGTGACAGTGATAGTGGTGCCGGCTGAGATGGGAATCCCCAGAGCTAGTCCCGACCGCGCGTCGCTTCCAGACACAGACACACACCCAGGAACTAGCTGACTTCCGGCCCGGGCCGCGCAACGCGCCCTGGGACTTGGAAAGTGGGGAGGCGGGGCCGCGGGGCCGGGGCGGGGCCGGGACGAGGCCGGGACCTGCACAGCGGTGGGCGGGGCCTACGGGCAAGCCAGAATAGGAGCTTCGCTGACCCTGCGCCAAATCGGCTGGTGGAGATCCATGCAGTTAACCTTGGTTACTGAGAAGTTGACCTGTGGTGGAGTACCGCCACCTTGGCTCAGGAAGAAAATCCGAGGTGGCGGGCCTGTAGACTGGGATGGCTGGAAGGTTGAGACCCCGCTCACGGCCACCTCGAGCGTCTACCATCAATGTTCCCGGATGCGCTAACACCCAGCGCGTCTGCTTTAGCCACCACCCCCTACCTCTGCCCCCGGCATTTGATGTTTAAGAATCCAGGCGGCGACGTGTTCTCTTGCTGTGCCAGTGGGAAGAAGTGCGAGTGATGGATGTGATGGGCACCAAAGCCTGATAAGCTACTCCATCTCTGAAAACAGCGTCAGACCCTGGCCTACCAGTCAATGCAATCATTAAATGTCTTTTGAAAGAAAGAATATTGAGTGTGTTGAAAAGATTTCCGTTAAAGCTCCTACAAGGCCGTTTTGAATTGAGGTTTGGTTAATGCATTGCTTCTACTACAATCTCAATCCGCAGAAACTCGAATCCGTACACATCACTTTCATTTCCAGGTCATCCCTGTAGCAGCAGTCGCGGCTATAACTCTTTGTCAGAACCTCATTGTCGACTACAGCAGGGGCTGGGAGAAGCCAACACGTGGGTGAGACGCGGCGTTGGCCCGAGTACATGGAGGCGAGCCCAGCTGGCCTCTCTTGGGCACCCACAGTCTTTGCAAACTCCTGGGGGCGCCTTTCCGTGGAATTGTTTGGGTAAGGTCACGTGGTCTATCACGTGAAAGATTAAAAGTTGTTACCTTGGGGAAGAAATAGGGAAAGGAATGATTGTTTTTTGAAGGTGGGCTGGAAACTACAAAATCAGGCTTCTCCGGAACTGCCTTTTAGTCTAACGGGAAATGGAGCGTCACCCAAAGGGAGGGGCGGCCACTCAGTGACAGTTCTGCTCCAGGCGCTCACTTTGCGGGCGGCGCTTTTTCCAGGTTCAGGTTATCAATCCAGCGGATGAGACAAGGTTGATGCACGCTGCTTCCTTTTTTTTAAAAAAAAAAAAAAAAAAAAAACCATAAATGAGCAAGCGAGATGTCCCTTCCGTTTTATAATCAAGCAGCAAGCAAATAAATCGGCTAGCCCAACTACATTTTTCGGCACTCGAGGTAAGGAGACAGCAAAATGCTCTAGTGTTGTAACATTTTTGCTGGGAGAATGTATTCATGTTTTGTTCTCATTCTTGGAAGTTTGCGCGTAGCGGGGGGAGGGACAATGGGGAATGTTAGTAATTTGTGGGTTTTATTTTTGAAAATATGAAGTACTTAGTCAACAGTTATTTTTTGTTTCCTTATAATGTTCATGTTAATTAAAACTTGTGACGAGAGACAGCTGGGTTCCAGAAATCAAGTTCTAGAAAGAATATTTTTGTCTCTGCCTTTCTTGGTGTATATTTATTAATTTGGACATAGAAATATTTTCAATTAGTGGCATTTTACTTGTATTTTCAAAGAAGCTTTTGTGATATTAGTAGACTGAATTTTACTCTGCTGCACTGCTGGGGGAACATTAATTGGTGCAAACTGTGTAGTGTAAGATCATTCTTTTCCTGGTATTGGGTTTTTCTCTGAAACCACTTTGCGTATTTCATTACGCTGTAACTAATGGGAGAAAGGGATATATAGAAATACCTGATCAAATTTTAGCAAAAGATTTCTAGCGTTCTGTTAACTCATCAAGGTCAGCTAAAATTTGAGCCTGTATATTTTTGTATTCTGCCTTTTAAATCTGCATTTTATCCCATATAGATATGAACAGAAATTGGTCAGATGGTCTATGGAGAAATAGAAACCTGTCTTACTTCCTTGCAAATCATTTTGAAATAGGTTGGAGAAATCGAAGTTTAATTTCTGCTATATTGAGACTCCCAAGTTAATCCTCTCCCTCCCAAAAATATAAGGTAGATACTCCTGTGAAGAGGACCTTTCCCTTTCAAAAGGTGGCAACAATACCATTTCATACCTTTCACACCTTTGGATGTCATAATGACCAACTTCAGTACTACAGACATTTATTTGCAATATAAAATGTAGATGTGCTCTACTTGAATCAGGAAAAGTTTAATAAGTGGAAAATGTTTGTGCCTCACTTATTTTGTCATCTTGAAATAATATTTATCCCATGTATGTTATCCCATATATGTGTCATATCAAAGTAAGTTTCTTTCATTTATTCAGCAGTCATTTCCAGGCTCTGTACTAGGCACAAACCAAATAAGTCAAAGTTCTCTCCCTGGAGAAATGTTATGGAGAGATTTGAGGAGAAGGAGGTAGTAACAACAGGAAAATCATTCCAGGATTTTAGAACTCTATGATGTTAAAATATGGTCACAGGGATGCCCTGTGACCACTGGGGTCAGTGAGGAGGGGCATCTATTACTTAGTGACTCTGTATAAACTTAGCCATCCCTTTCACCCCTTCAATAGCATGTATCATGGCATTGATTTTGTACAATCAAAAATGATTCTGTGGCTCTATTTAGGTGTTTACTATAGGTACACTATTCGAAAGTCTCTAAATAGAATTCTTCATCCCTTCATACATTATAAGATTAAATAGGTTTAATACTAAAAAATATGGCACTGAAAAAGTCTTAAACTAATAAATTGATTTTTACCTGAAATTTCTGATATTTGCTTATAATTCGGAAGGAAAGTTGGGCAATCTGCTTCTGTAGTCATACTGCCGCGGAAACCCAAGGAGGGGTCACTATGAGATCCGACTCCACAGCAGTAGTTGCTTATAATTAGACTGGGGGGGTGAAGCTCAGCTGTCCAGATGTGGTTCAGGATTGTAAGGAATGAAAGAGAAAATAAAGGGGCAGAAGCTCATCTCCAGCCATAGTTCAGCTCTCCTGAGCAACAGCAAAGAACAGGAAGGATGTCATCTGTCATTCCTCAGTAATCAATGCTGGAATTGATATCTGCCACCCTCTGGAAGCATAGTGCCTAAGGCACTTGACTGCTAACCAGAAGGCTGGCAGTTCAAACCCACCAGCCATTCGGAGGAAGGAAGGTGGGGCAATCTTCCATAGTGATAGCGCCTCGGAGACCCAAGGAGGGGTCACTATGAGTCGGGTCCAACTTGACAGCCCATAACAACAACAACAACAACAACATTTTAGACCCTGTGTTTTATAGATGCATCAAATTAAGTACCCTGTTTACTTTTAATGGAAAAAAGAAGTGCAACATAGATAAAGTAGCCCTGGTGTTACAATTGTTAAAGTGCTCAGCTGTTAACCAAAAGGCTGGTAGTTGACATTCACCAGCCACTCGGCAAAAAGAAGATGTGGCAGTCTGCTTCCTAAAGATTTACAGCCTTGAAAATGCTGTGGGATTACTATGAGTTAAAACCCACTCAAAGGCAGTGGGTTGGGTATTGGTAGATAAAACTACTGATACATATAAGCCTAGAAATTGAACACAAATACAAATTGCTAACATTGAGAAGTTTTTCTCCATGGCATATATGCTCTAGTTTCAAATATGTAAAGGTGTCAGAAAGTTGGAATGATGTGAGTCTATTCTGCTTCCAAATCCTCAAGAGAAAAATGAAAACAAAAATAATAGCAATGTTAGCAGCAACCTCGCTAAAAAACATTATTTACCTCAATATCTAAATTTAATTCTTAGAATACAGAATAAACCAAATAAACACTGCTGTCGAGTCAGATCTGACTCATAGCGACCCCTCCTTAGGTTTCCGAGGTGGTATCACTACAGAATTAGATTGCCCAATCTTCCTTCTGAGGCATGGCTGTGGGTTTGAACCACCAGCCTTCTGGTTAGCAGTCAAATGCCTTAGGCACTATGCCACCAGAGCTTCTAGAATACAGAATAGCAAATTTTAATTTCTAGAACTATCTAAGCCTATGGATAATAGCAGTAAAAATACTGTTTTCTTTTTTCTGCTTATTGACAAAAACATCACAGAAAATTCTTTGATTTCCTTTAATAGTGCCCAGAGAGACTGTTCCTATCAATCACTGAAGCCATAAGGAAATTTCTTTTTAAAGTTAAGCTTTATCACAATGAGGTAAGTATCAGTAGTTTGCATCTGAGAAAAATTTTCTTCACAGGTGTTTTGTTTCCTTTGAAATAAAAGTTATTACTTGAGCCAAGATCTGTTAGAAAGTACTGTAAGGCCTCTTTTAGGTCTGATCCATTGAAATAATAGTCCAGGTTATAGAATGAAGCCAGTACCAATAAAGTTGAAATATTATCATAGACTCAGAGCTGAAAGGAGTAGAGGATATAGCAGACACTCACAACACAGTGTTTGACATGTGGCAGTTGGAAGTTTGGTTCTGACCCACACCACTCTTTCTATGGCTCAGGAAAATGTTAATATTCTCAATTCCAGCTATCCTGGTTGTTGTTGTGTGCCATCTAGTAGATACCAACTCAGAGTGACCCTGGAGGACAGACCAGGCCCCACAGGGTTTCCTAAACTATAATCTGTTCTGGAGTAGATCACAAGGTCTTTTCTGCGACGGAGCCTCTAATGGGTTTAGATGCTGACCTTTCTGTTAGAAACAGAGCACTTAAAAATTGTGTCACCAGAATTTCTAGAAAATAAGTTGGATATATATGAATTCTCTTATTTCTTTTTTTTTCCCTTGTGATTTGGGTGAAATTTTACAAAGTAGATACATTTTACATTCAGTGCTTCACACACATTTTGTTTTGTGACACTCATTACAATTCCTGCAGTGTAACAGCTCTCCTTCTTCCCTTTGATCACCCTTTCCCTCTGTCCTTCCAGCCTATGCATTCCTGTCTCCCTGGCTTTCTCCTTGTGCAAACACAGCCCTTCTGTTCTCTTGTGGTTGATTGTTCTAAAGAGTACATCTTTCTGGTGTAGTTGTTCAGCTCATAGACCTGTCTGCTGTTTGGCTTAAAGTTATCCATGGGAGTGAGTCCAATTCCAGACCTGAAGGGTGACTATAAAATCAGTAGTTTCAGGAGTTTCACCAGTCTCTATGTGACCAATAACACTGGTCTTTTTTGTTTAATTTTATTCCACATTTTTCTCCTATTCTATGCAGGATTTCCAATTTTGATTCCTTTCTGAGTGGTTGGCGGTGGTAGCTGGGCACCATCTAGTTTTTGTGGTCTCAGGATCACATAGGCTGAGGTTTTCATAGTCCATTAGTCCTTTGTACTAATTATTTCCATGCGTCTTTGATTTTCTTCACTCTGCTCTGGATGAAGAGAGACCAATAGTTGCCTCTTAGATGGCCACTCATAATTTTTAAGACCCCAGTCGCTACTCGTCAAAGTAGGTGATAGAACAATGTTTTTGTGTACTATGTTGTGCTAGTTGACCTTGATGTCCCCCACAACCATGATTCCAAGCCTGCATGTCCGGTGAGTCACTCCTTCAAGATGCTTAGCTGTGGCTAAGAAGTTATCCTAACATTTTTCCGTGTTAGCTCTATACTGCATATGGGCATTTTTATAGCACATACAATATTCATGTACAATATAATCTGTCCAACCTATGTATGCTCATGGGTTTATTCCCATTTACCTACCCATACCTGATCTTCTTACCTGTCTACCTACGTATCCACCCATAGATTAGTGTTTGCTATTACAGTATTGTGTATGTAATTGTATTTACCTTTATTGTCTGTACCTCTTGTGCACCTGTCAATGTGTTCCTTTTCCTTAGTGATACTGTCCTGGTCACACGATGTTATTGTATTGCCTTTTTCTTTACCCAAATCAACATCTGTCTCTTAACTAGCAAACAACTTTCCCTCCCCTCACTTCCCTTCCCTACTAACCAACAAAGATACTTTTCTTCCCTGTGTAAACCTTTCCTTGACTTTTTATAATAATGAACTCATACAATATTTGTCTTTCTATGATTAACTCATTTCACTCAGCATGATGTCTTCCAAGTCCATCCATGTTATGCTGATTCTTCATTGTTCTTTAATGTTGCATAGTATTCCACTGTGTATATGTACCATTTTTTGATTATCCATCCATCTGTTGATGGGCACTTAGGTTGTTTCCATCTCTTTGCTGTTGTGAATAGTGCTACAATGAACAAGGGTATATATATATCTATTCATGTCCCAGATATCACCTCTTTAGGATATATTCCTAGTAGTGGGGTTGCTGAATCAATCAAATGATATTTCTATTTCCAACTTTTGAAGAAAGTGCCATATTGTTTTCACAGTAGTAGTACCATTTTTCATTCCCACCAGCAGTATATGACAGTTTCAGTCTCTCCACACCCTTGCCAGCCTTTGTTGTTTTTTTGTCTTGTTGAACTTTGCTATTATTGCTGGGGTGAGGTGATATCTCATTGTTGTTTTGATTTGCATCTCTCCAGTGGCAACTGATTGCAAGCATTTCTTCATGTGGGTGTTGGCCACCTGAATATCTTCTTTGGTCTGTTCATGTCTTCTGCCCATTTTTTAATTGGGTTGTCTTTTTGGTGTTAAAGTTTACTATAAATTATAGACATAAGCCCTATGTCAGATATGTTGTTGCCAAGTTTTTTGTTTTGTTTTTTTTTCCCAGTCTGTGGGTTCTTGTTTTACTGTTTTGGAGAAGTCTTTTGATGCACATAAGAATTTTAATTTTTAGAAGGTCCCAGTCATCTGGTTTATCTTCTGCTCTTTATGCATTTCAAGTTATGCTTGATGGTCTGTCTATTTATGACATAAATTGGGGGCCCTCAGTTTGCCCCTGTTTTATGTTTGATGAACTTTATAGTTTTAGGTTTTATGTTTCAATCTTTGATCTGTCTTGAGTTCGTTTTTGTGTATGGTGTAAGGTATGTATCTTGTTTCATTATTCTGCAAATGGATATCCAGTTTTGCTGGCACCATGTGTTGAAGAGACTATCTCTTCCCCATTAAATGAGTTTTGGCCCTTTGCTAAAGATCAGCTATCTATAGGTGGATGGATTTCTTTCTGGATTCTCAATTCTGTCCTACTTGTCTATGTCTGTCGTTATACCAATACTAGGCTATCTAGACTACTGTGGCTGTATAGTTGGTTTTAAAATCCAGGAATGTGACACCTACTTTGTTTTTCTTCTTTAGTAGTGCTTTGCTCATCCAAGCTCTCTTTCATTGCCACATAAAATTAGTGATTGATTTTTCCATGTCCTTAAAGAATGTTGATGGAATTTGAATCAGGATTTTATTGAATGTATAGATTGCTTTGGGAGTAGTATTGATGTTTTTACAATGTTCAGTCTTCCTATCCATGAGCATGGCATGTTCTTCCATTTTTTTGTAGGTTTCTTATAGTAATATTTTGTATTTTTATTTGCATAGGTCTTTTGTGTCCCTGGTAAGATTTATTCCTAAGTATTGTAACTTTTTAGTAGCTATTGTTGTCCTTATTTCCTTTTCAGAGATCTATTTATTGATGTAGAGTAATCCAACTGATTTTTATATATTGATCTTGTATCCTGCCACTTTTCTGAATCTTTCAATTAGTTCCAGGCTTTTTTTTTGCAGTCTCTTGATTTTACCATATATCGGATCATGTCATTTGCAAATAGAGATATTTGAACTTCTTCTTTGCCAATTTGGATACCTTTCATTTCTCTTGCCTTATTGCCCTGGCTAAGACTTTTAATACAGTGTTGAATAGAAGTGGTGATAGAGGGCATCCTTCTCTGGTTCCCATTCTCAAGAGGAATGCCTTGAGTCTCTCTTCATTGACAATCGTTAGCTGTTAGTTTTGTGTATATACCCTTTACTATGTTGAGAAATTTCCCTACTATTCATATTTGCTGAAAGTTTTTTTTAATCAAGAATGGATGTTGGATTTTATCAAATGCTTTTTTTGCATCGGTTGATATGATCATGTGGTTCTTTTCTTTTGTTATGTGATGGGTTACCGCTAAAAGGGCAAGGAGGCCACATCTTCTTACCTCCTCTAACCGCACAAGAGGAAAACAGAATCACTATCAGTAGCCCAAGGCCCATTACTGTGAGGCCAGACATGCTGCCTCCCTCCAGCCCTTTCACCAACCCTGACACCAACTGTTCCTCCCGCAGCACCCACCACCTTTCTGCTGAGTTTGATAATTGACTGCAGTGGCCACACAGAACTCACAGATTATGGGGTTTATTAGGGAAGCACCAGGCTACAATTCAAGTTCAGGAAAAATGCTCAGTCTCTCAGCCTGCCGTCTCTCAGCCAACAGTCTCTCACAGTCTGTCTCCTAACAGTGCATGTCCCTCGATGTCTCACTCAGCAATGCATGTCTCTTGCATCTCTTTCCCAGCAGTGCATGTCTCTCAGGAACGCGTGTCTCTTTCAGTAGCATGTCCTTCTCAGCCAGCAGTCAGAGAGACCTCATCTGCCTCTAGGAGGCCTCCTTTTGAGCCTGGCAGAGTGGCCAAACTAACCAATCATAACATCAGAATTCTAAGCACTTGAGAGACAGCGAACTTCCCAGAACATAACTTTGTGCTGCTCCCAACAGAAATACCCCAGGTGGGTGATTTTAACAATCAGGAGCTACTCAGTTTCTCACAGCAAATTCCACTATGGACTTTACAAAGACTTATGGCTAGAAAAGCCATACGAGGTAGTTTACTACATCGCAGTTACGTTGATTGTTTTTCTACTGTTGAACGATCCTTGCATACCTGTTAGGAATCCCACTTGGTCATGGTGTATTATTTTTTGATATGGTATTAGATTCTCTTGGGTAGGATTTTGTTGAAGATTTTTGCATCTGTATTCGTGAGGGATGTTGGTCTGTAATTTTTCTTTTTAGTGGTGTCTTTGCCTGATTTTGCTATCAGGTTATGTGTGCTTCATAGGATGAGTTTGAGAGTATGCCATCCTTTTCTATGTTCTGGAATAGTTGAGTAGGCTAGGTCAGCTCTTTTCTGAATATTTGCTAGAATTCTGCAATGGAGCTGTCTGGGTCAGGCCTTTTTCTTACAGAGCAAATTCATTTTCCATATAACAGTTCATACACATTTTGTTTCATGACATTGATCACAATCCCCACAATGTAACAGCTCTCTTCTCATTTCCTCC